GCATGCAGGAATGCCGATGTAAATTTGACCCCATTTATGGGAACGACTAACGGATTCATTTTTCAAATAATCAATTCATTAATAGAATCTTAGGGGCCGGGGTACGTTTGACCTGCCTTGACTATTGAATGCGGACAACGGAGGTACTAGTCTCGTTTCTTGCCCAATCGACAGATTCTCATAAATAGTCAACCTCGCTGATGCGTACACTTCATTTTCAATTGGGTGCTGTAACAAACCTTTCGTTTTGAAGCTTTTAAAAACCCTTTAGGTGACAGGGTATCGATGTTTCCAGCGCTACAGTACACACGATAGGATGAATTGTAGACGTCAATTTCATACTGTTCTGGCATCAAACGAGTTATGCAGAGAACAGTTTTCTAATAGACGTTTTGTCAAGAATGCGGTGCTTATTTGATGGCGGTGCTAAATAGGAGGCGGCGCTTATTCGAGTAAATACCTGAATTGGCAACATTAACACGATGAAGCAAACAGCCATGACACAGCCCCTTTACTGACGTCTTACGTAAGTCATTGATGACGTTAGCATGGCGTCAAAACATTTAAGGCCTGGTATTATTACAGAGTTGGCAAAAAGTTATTACCCTTTATTACGTTGAGGGTCGTTTCTAAAATTTAAGCCTTCTATCCTCATTTCTAAAACACCACGTGGGGAGAAACAAAAACGCTGTCTTGTTAACCTATAGGGGCACCTATAGGACAGTTACCTTCTCACTCGCTCTTTTAGCTGAACTCTCGGGGGGATTGGGGGATTGGGGGGGGGCGGGTAGACACGGTTATAAAAGTAAAGCCTGCCTCGTACCCATCTCCTCTGGGATTCTCGCTGGAAGGATCATTGGAAAGCTTCAAAAGAGTGAAAGATCATAGACCTCTTTCAGAATGGCGGCCTATTAATTACGGGCGACAAGAGGAGCCCGCAATCCTAATCTCCAGGTTGTTATTACGCATGCGTCTCATGTATGTAGCCCGCATTCGTTTGGACTCCCACTAAGAATGAACGGAATGCACAGAACACACTTTGATCATGCGCATTTGGACCTTCTCTCACTCGTAATCTGATCACGCGTGTTTTGAGCATCTGTCACGTGAAACTTACGAAAAGCACAGCGTTGGAGCAAAAATCGTTTTGACCTTCCATCGTTGTCGCCCGCACTCCGTAACCTTTGGTTATTACTAGTATATTCTTTTATATTATGTAAGATAATTAGCCTTTCTGACCTAGTTAGCATGTGCAAAATACAAAAGAATTCTCACTTTCAAACGAGATCAGAAAGGCATATCATACCCTAAATCCACAAATAAGCACCCCCTCCCTAATAAACCCACCCTCTTCAGGGGAAGAAAGTTAATAATCCCCACCCCCTCATTATTATTCACAAATAAATGATAGAATGTATTAAACAATCACGACCGAAAAACTTCGTGTGTACTGATGCGGGATGGTTTAATCATCAGCTGGAAGTTCGGGTTTGTTTTTTATCCTCGGCTGCATGACCTCAGACTTCTTGCACTTGAGCTTTTCCACTTTGCATTCTAGTTCTTTATGGAGAACTATTGCCATCGTCTTTGTTAAAATAAATAAGCCTCCCCCCCCCTCCCCTACCCCGCTCCCCTCAAATGTGTTTGAAATAAATACGCCCCGGAGGGCACAATATAAAAGAATGTATTAATAGGCCTAAGTGGATTACTATTGTATTTGTAAGAAAGAAAGGACACACAAAACACTTCACATTTTCATGATTTATTTATTCATTTACTTCCGAACGTAAACTTTTATCATATTTTCGATTTGCGGATGCATTTTTTTGTTACTAGATAAAACCCTAGAAATATCCAACTTAAAATCGTGGGCTTAAGCTTCCAAGGGCATAAATCTATTTCATTCTTGAGGTTAAGAGATGCAAAATTATCCACAACATTTCATACCATCAACTGTGACACAACAATATCGCAATAATCTAACACACTGAATTGGCAGAAAATTTTCCTTGGTTGGTTCCATAACTTTTTTGCGTTATACAAATGGAGGTTAAAACGGTCACCCTTGATGGAAGCCTGACAGGATGACGTAAAGAAAGTCCTCTTTTCCAAAAACAACGTTTTTTTTACTATTCAAATTGTAAACGGTTAGCATTTCAGCAGAGAACTTGAGAAACTGGTTTTCACGTGACCGTATCTTAGATATCTTATATCTACTGTACGTTTGATTCTAAATCATTTTCATATTAAAAGTCCTGCCGGAGAGGGGTCGACATAAAAAGACACTTTAAATGATTGAGTATGGTCAAAATATGATGCAACGTGAAAAGGATAGACAAGAGAGTATGAAGCGCAAAGGGAGGAAAACGTCCAAAATCGGGGCATGCACATCAACCTCTCCCTTCTTTTCCCGGTGCTTGCTGACCAGTTTATTCAGGAAACTATAACTTCTGATTTACAACTCTGTGCAGTCTTAGAAAACTGAATCACCCACATCCACTTGTACATCACCAAGGACTTCTCGCTTTGATTTACACGCTGTGTTATGACGTCTGCATCTTGAAATTACTTCTTTCTTTTAGTTTTAGATTTTAATATCTTTATACAATATTAATTTAATCGTCCTTGAATCCTAGGCTACCACTCAGCTTCGCCAGTAGCCTTTTGGAACACATAGTCTCTTCCTCTAAGATTCATTATTCCATCTTTTAAATAAAATTTCCATTTGTTTCTGCTGCGATTGATCTAAAAAAAGACAAGGAAAGAAGTATGAGTGAGCAGGTCAACCACGACTCATATCTTAAGGTTATCCTCTTGAAAAAATTTATAGCTTACAAATAGTAAAAATAATAATGCATTTACTTGTTTTGGCTTGCGTGAAGTCGTGTTTTTCTCTTTTGAGATGTTGAAAGTTTTCATAGCTGTCACCCATCTTGCGATATTATCATTTGCTGTAAACATGCGATTTCTGAGTTGCCCCTCACCTCTCTCTCATAATGAGGTCATGCGTTGTCTATTTTCATTTTTGTGCAAATAAAACTCATTGTCACTAGTCTGTTCCAGGCTCTTAGATAGTACTGTAGGGGTGACGCAAAAGTGAAGGACAATCAAAAAAAAATTATGAGCGCATGATCTGGTAAAAGAGAAATGTGGTGGTGCCCTTCCTCTCCACAGTTTCTTCCTGTATTATATTTGTGTTGGCCCTTTCTCAATTTCGCAGACCCGACTATCTCGGAGAAAGAAACAAGCAGGGGTTGCTGGAAAAAGGAAACGACCCATTGAGGGATACTGGAAATCAGAAGTTGTCCATTGAGAGAGAAGTCACAGTGTTGCCCATCCCACTTCTTTACGGTGTGCATTGGTATGAAAATTAGTTATATGTGTCTAAAAACCTACTTATTTATTTTTAAAGGAGTTTTTCCTGTGCTACTGCATGTTTATCATTCATTATAACGCACTTCTAATTTTTGAGTCTGTGGATAGAGTCCTTAACTGTGATAGCCTTGGACCAGACTCCTTAGAGGAGGAAAAGGGAGAATGGACTGAGCAAAAAATAGCCGGCAGGGGACTGAGGAGAGAAAGCAGCAGAGAAGGGCTTTGCTGCCCTTTTCTTCTCCCCAGTCCATCACTTGGCTCGCTTTGCTCCCTGTTCATTGCTGTACAAGAATGGGTCTCTGCACCTTGTCAAACTGACACACAACGACATTATCAGTGTCAAATAAGTCCGCTGGGTCATCATCTGAAACATCGTCATCTGAATTAAGAGGATCCTCATCCTGCAAGAAGTAAACATGTACCTGATTAAAGGAATTCAAATGTACACTGTATGACAAAATTTTGTTTGTCAAACAATCCTGTTTTTAAGTCTTTCTTTTGTTATCACAAATACTAAAAACATTACTGGAAACAACAAACTCCAGAACTCAGAGCAAAATAATTAAAGCAATTCAAATATTTTGTTCAAATTGCTTGAACTTCATTAGCGATATAAAATGAGATTTAGTTACCCAACTTATGTTTCTCCTATCCAAAGTGGACAAAAAAATTATTGTTCTTTCTTGACAACATAATCTGAGCTATACTCTCAGTTTATATGGCTGGCACATAACAAATTAATTTTATTGAGGTATTCAGGCAATCTTTGTCCTTCTTACACAGTTAACACATTCTTTCCTACAGATTGTCCTTGACTTCTGATTAAATAATGTCTGCATGAAAGAATGTGAATTAATTAAAGGAGGTCACACTTTTAGGTTCCGCTTGATGTAAATTAACAGGCCATGAAGATACAATTTGCAAGTTTAAGATGGCACATGCTTGACTTCAATGTAGCTGATCACAATCTTTTGGCCCCAAACAAATAATAATTTGAAACTGCCTTTAGTATTTAAAACTAATAATGTCCTTAAAAATTCACACTTACTTCAACTTCTCCCTCTTCATCCAACCCATTGTCTTTAGATTTATCTTTTTCATCATCATCTTCATCTTCGTCATCATCATCATCATCCTCACTGTCACTATCATTAGCTCCATCTACCTGAATAACTTGAATTCCTGAAGGCTGAAAAAAGAATTATATGTACACGTGACACATCTAGTAACAATAATAACATATTAATTTTCCTAAATCTGCCATTGTTTAATCACATTTTATTGATTTTTTTTTCCGCCAGATAATACGAATTCATACAAACTGTACAGGTCTATAGCTGTACATGAAAAAGAAATGCTGACCAGTGTTCAACCTAGAAATTAGTCAAATTAGTCAAAGTGGGTCATATGTCCCACGTGGCATTTCAAAAATGGTCTGGGTCAAAGCATAATGATTGAAACTTTGAACAACAGACTTCATCAAACCTATAACCAGGGACAGTACATTACAGTTTTATGCTTTTCACAGTTTTGATTCCTTTATTGCAGTAAACAGTCAAAATTAATACTGATAACAACAGCTTGGAGGCTGGCACTGTAGGTGGTACAGCTGTATGAATTGGCCTCTAAGATAATCACAAAGCTGAAACGTTATTTCAAAAATGACTGACTGGTTCTGAATAAAAGGTGACAAAAGGCCAAAAGTAAGGCTGTACTGTAAGTAAGGCTGAATTTAAGGGTAATTGTTTAGAGTTTTGTTGTATGCTGAACAAGAACATAATTTCCTGAAATTTGCAGAAATTTGTGTTGCCATTTTAGATGACAGGCTATTTTTTGGTTTTCACTGCGAGAAATTAGTAATGGGTGAATCTCGCGAAACTCGATCCTTGACTTGATTCTCGATAGGCTAAGCTTGTTCTCGATTTTATATCTGTTATACATGTAGTTACCCAGGGTAGGGTAAACAAAGCGAAAACAATGAAGCATTAAACAGTGCATAACAAAAGCGAAAGCTAGTTTCAAAAATGCGCTTTCAAACTAGTTAACGATTTTGCGTTAACGCAGAAAATGTGCGTGTGTTTTGCGTGTCTGTTGGTCACTTATCTCTGAGCTGTACTGTATTTATGACAGAAATTATAATCAAATTGGGTTACAGCCACGCAGTCATACACCTAGCAGACTTCCCGTGAAGAAGTTAAGAAGTCTATTACATAAAAGGAGAAAAGTAAGGGTATTTGTATGAAGGGAATCCAAAAAAATATGATTTCTTGCAATTCCTCATTTCTTACAGAGGAATTATTCCTCTCCCTTCACAATATTAATCCACAACCATGATGCCAAAGTGTACACTCTCATATGCATAGTGTCGTGTTATTTATGAAATGAAATTTTTTGAGATATTTAGAAAAAATTTCCAGATAATTATTAAAAAAAAAAAAAAAAAATTTGTTTTAAGGGTAATTGTTTAGAGTTTTGTTGTATGCTGAACAAGAACATAATTTCCTGAAATTTGCAGAAATTTGTGTTGCCATTTTAGATGACAGGCTATTTTTTGGTTTTCACTGCGAGAAATTAGTATTGGGTGAATCTCGCGAAACTCGATCCTAGACTCGATTCTCGATAGGCTAAGCTTGTTCTCGATTTTATATCTGTTATACATGTAGTTACCCAGGGTAGGGAAAACAAAGCGAAAACAATGAAGCATTAAACAGTGCATAACAAAAGCGAAAGCTAGTTTCAAAAATGCGCTTTCAACCTAGTTAACGATTTTGCGTTAACGCAGAAAATGTGCATGTGTTTTGCGTGTCTGTTGGTCACTTATCTCTGAGCTGTACTGTATTTATGACAGAAATTATAATCAAATTGGGTTACAGCCACACAGTCATACACCTAGCAGACTTCCCGTGAAGAAGTTAAGAAGTCTATTACATAAAAGGAGAAAAGTAAGGGTATTTGTATGTAAGGGAATCTAAAAAAATATGATTTCTTGCAATTCCTCATTTCTTACAGAGGAATTATTCCTCTCCCTTCACAATATTAATCCACAACCACGATGCCGAAGTGTACACTCTCATATGCATAGTGTCGTGTAATTTATGAAATGAATTTTTTTGAGATATTTAGAAAAAATTTCCGGATAATTATTTAAAAAAAAAAACAGGACTTTGTGGAAACATATTTAGGCAATTTTTGGTGATATCTGGACCTACACGTAGGCCTAGGATAGTAAACGTACTTATTTTCGAGGTAATTTTTTTTTGCATCAGTATGACTTCACAATAATTTTATTTCACCTCAGATTAAAATATTCTGTGTCAATGTTTACAAAACGTTGCTTAGATTGAACACCGGCTGACCGGAGATGAAAACAGGGAAGGGACCTGAATTGACTTTCAACCTCTACAATTCTATAACTACATGTAAGACAAAACACCTACTCCTGTAAAATCAGACAAGAAAAAAAACGATGCTTAAAGAAGTGTGTGTTATGAGAGTGACATACAGATATTCCTATGGCAGCTGATAGGAATTAGCATGTACAGCTGTAATAACTTTTGAACTGTTGAACACTAGAAGCATAGTTAAAAGAATGAAGGAGACTATTCCATGCCCTAACGGTCCTGGGGAGTGTAATTGAGTATAGTGCTGTACTGCATGCCTATACATGTACATGTACAAAGTACAGGTAACTCTATGGTGTTATTGTACAGCCGTACAGTGTATGTTTAATCATAACTACATGTATTGCCTATCAGCTGCCCTGATTTCACCATTAATAGGACAACGTAACAGGGCATTTCACATCATGCAAAAGTAATAATAATGGCAAGTCCTGTCCAATTATTGAACAAGACACGCCATTAATTGCATGCATGATTTTGAATAGGATCTATTTTTACATCTAGGAAAAACCGCTGAAATATCCTAAAATATCCCAAATTTCTTAAGGTTAACTGGTAACAAAAACATCATGTTGTCCAATTGGGTCTGTTAACATAATCTCACGATTTAGCAAATTGGAGACGCGGTCATCAGATTTTGTCAATCACCCTTATCACAGAGTGAATTGTAGTTGGCCACTTACAACAGTTGTTTTATTACTATTATTAATAATTGAACCAACCTGTTTGTCACCTTGATGTAACTGTGTCATTTGAATGATGCTCGGTTGAGTTCCACCACGGATGACTTGCGTGTTTCCTGCAGTGGCTGGTTGCTGCTGTATTGCTCGTATAACTTGCTGTTGATTAGTTCCAATCACACGAGGCTGTGCAGTAAAATTTTGTTGCCGAAGGTTTCCTACTTGTTGTGTTGTTTGTATTGTCCTTACTGTCGGATAACCTGTTAAACAATAATTATCTGATTTAAAAATTTAAGTAGATAACACATTACTCTGACTCACAAAAAATACTCCAAGTGTCCCCAGCCTATTATTTTTCCTTCTAGTCACAGATGACTTCTTTTTTTTATCACCCACTCCTCTACTAATGAGTATTGCACCACTGGACAAAACAGTCTGTGTGGAACAAATTGACACATGATTGACAGGGATTGGAGAGCAGG